GTAGAGCATGATAGAGTGCTCACCTTGAGCTGAAGAGCTGAGGGACAGTGCCCAGGCCCAGAGTACAAGCCCCACGACAGACAGACAGACAGAAAGAAAGACAGAAAGAAAGACAGAAAGGAAAGAAGGAAGGAATAAAAGAAAAAAAGAAAGAAAGAAAGGAAGAAAGGAAAAGAGAAAAGAGTAAAAGGCTGACACAGGCTCCTTAAAAGCGATGCCACATGGAGAAGCCAGGCACGGAAGGGTTACACGGTGTGACCCCACATGTATAAATGACAACAAAGGACAGACAATGGGTGGTTTTCAGATGGGTGGAATCCAAGAGGACTGCTCACAGGTGCTGGGGGGGGTTTCTTTGTTGGAGATTGAAACAGCACTGATGGGCACCTGGGTAGAAATGTGCCACCGCCAGTGCCTCAGGACCCATGGGGGAGAGCAACCTCTTCCATCAGCGCACACTGTCACCAGCCCGAGAAACGACGACACACCGTGTGTATGTGTGGCTTTAGAGAAGGGTTCACTGTGTAGGCCGGCCGGCCCTGAACTGGACAGCCTCCTAGCCAAGCTCCCAAGTGCACCACCACACCCAGCCAGCCAGGGTCTTCTGAGCAACTGGGAATTGAACCTTTACTTGCCAGTGGCTCTGCCACTTGAGCTACACTCCCAACCCCCAAAAGCATATTTGTGCTGCATAAAAACTGCTTCAAAAACTACGGCATTTTCTTGGGTTTTCTTGGGGTTACTGGGATTTGAACTCTGGTCTTCATATTTGCTAGAAAACTTGAGCCACAAATGACTCCAGCTCAAACATGTCTGTGTCTGAAAATAGCATAAAGACAGTAAGTCCAAGGCCAACTTTCACCCACGGCAAGGCTGGGCGGTGAGTGGTCTGCACCTTCACAGACCACTCCTGTTCTTGGGTAAGGGACAACCAGCAGGGCAGCAACTGGCAGACTCTAAAGGTGTCTCCTGTTGGCCAGCTACCGAGAGAGAACTTTTTCCTTCCTGAAAATAAACTACTTAATACGCTCCATGCTTTTAAACTTTTAGTACTGGGCTGGGAAGGTGGCTCAGTGGTAGAGCGCTTGCCTTGCATGCCTGAGGCCCTGGGTTCGATTCCTCAGCACCACATAAGCAAAAAGAAAAAAGCCGGAAGTGGCGCTGTGGCTCAAGTGGTAGAGTGCTAGCCTTGATCTGAAGAGCTGAGGGACAGCGCCCAGGCCCAGAGTTCAGGCCCCACAACCGGACTCAAATAAATAAATAAATAGACTTCTAGTACTCCCCAGAACAACAATTTTAAAATAATATCACAATGAAGGGTTGAGAAACCAAGCAAATAATGAGAACTTCAGAAAATATAGGAAAAATAAAAACAGCCAGGCACCAGTGGCTCACACCTATAATCCTACGCTAACTTGGGAGGCTGAGATCTGAGGATCATGGTTTGAAACCATACCCAGGCAGAAAAGTCCATAGGACTCTGATCTCCAATTAACGAACAAAGAGTCAGGAGTGGAACTGTGGCTTAAGTGGAAAAGTGCCTTCTTTGAGCACAACCTACCAAAAACAAAAACAAAAACAAAAAAAACAAGCAAGCAAGCAGTGTGCTAAAGCTCTCTTTGCATTCTTTCTGTGAGCTGTTCGGTTGTGTCTTGAGCTTTTTGAGCTTGCTTAGGCAATTGGTGTTTTTCAAAGATAGAGACATGATTTGCCTTAGAAAATCCTTGTTTTATTTAATTTTGGGGGAAGATGGGGTATCCTGGGGCTTGAACTCAAGAGCCTGGACACTGTCTCTGGGATTTATTTTGCTCAAAGTTGGCACTCTACCATTTGAGCCACATCACCACTTCCGGTTTTCTGGTGGTTTATTGGAGATAAGTCTCTTGGGCTCTCCTGCTTGGACTGGCTTCAAACCATGATCCTCAGATCTCATCCTCCTACTTAGGAGTAGCTAAGATTACAAGCTTGAGCCACCTAAAAATTGGGCCTGGCCTAAAAATTAACTTTAGAAATGAGAGGATGGGCTGGGAAGGTGGCTCAGTGGTAGAGTGCTTGCCTCACATGCATGAGGCCCTGGGTTCGATTCCTCAGCACCACATACACAGAAAAAGCCAGAAGTGAGCTCTGTGGCTCAAGTGGTACAGCTCTAGCCTTGAACTGAAGAGCTCAGGGATAGCGCCCAGGACCAGAGTTCAAGCCCCATGACTGACAAAAAAAAAAATGAGAGGATATAGAAGAGGAAGAAGCAATCAGGGCCCCCTACTGGGCTTGGTGCTTGTCACTTACAGAATCTTCTACAGGTCACAAGATGGACAACGTCCTTCAAGGGGACAGGGAGACACGGGGGGGGGGGGGGGGGGGGGGGGGGGGCCTCTAGCCAAGGTCACGCAGCTGGTAAATTCAGTGCCCAGAGCCAAGAGAGGGTTTCATCTGGACAGAAAGGCTCTCTTATGGAAGGCTGAGGAGCTGGAAATGTGTAGTGGCAAAGCACTTTGTCTAGCATGTGCTCAGCACAGGAAATTTTTACTCTAGATTCAATTCACTGCCCTTCAGGGACAATCACAGCCATCTTCTGCATGAAACCAGGCATCAGAATACCCTGACAATGGGTGCAGATGCAAGAAGCTGGAACACAACTAACAGCACATGAACTGGCCCAAGTGACCAGGACTCTAGGGTCATTCCAGAGCTGACAACCTCAAAGAGGAAAAGCCTGGCTTTTCCACTTGACAGCTCAAACAGGATTTCTTTGACCAACACAAGACAGAGACTCTAGGAGAGAAATGAGTTTACAAAAACCAGAGATAAATATCACCAAAAAGACAAGATTTCAATTTAAAAAAAAAAAAAGAATATAGGGTTTTTTTAGAGATATTAAAAAGAAAAGCCAGCCAGTTGCCAATGGCTCACACCTGTAATCCTAGCTGCTCAGGAGGCTGAGCTCTGAGGATTGCAGTTCAAAGGCAGCACAAACAAGAAAGTCTGTGAGACTCCTCTGATCTCCAACTAACCACCAGCTAACTGAAGTGAGACTCCTCTGATCTCCAACTAACCACCAGATAACTGAAGTGGAGCTGTGGCTTAAGCCTTGAGCAAAAGGGACAGTGCCCAGGCCCTGAGTTCAAGCCCCATGACAGACCAAAAAAAAAAAAAGAAAGAAGAAGAAGAAAAAGAAAAGGAGCCGGGCGCTGGTGGCTCACGCCTGTAATCCTAGCTACTCAGGAGGCTGAGATCTGAGGATCGCAGTTCAAAGCCAGCCCGGGCAGGAGAGACCGTGAGATTCCTATCTCCAATAAACCACCAGAAAAACCGTAAGTGGCGCTGTAGCTCAAGTGGTAGAGCGCTCGCCTTGAGCTGAAGAGCTGAGGGACAGCGCCCAGGCCCAGAGTTCAAGCCCCACGACCGACAAAAAAAAAGAAAAAGAAAAGGCCACAATCCAAGGTCCAAAGATTCAAAAGCAACAACAAACCTCACCACTAGCTAACTGAATTTTTCCAGCCATTCCATAAAGGCAAAGTTTAAAGTTCAAGGAGCCCAAAGACATTGTACGGAGGCATTAGGGAATGGCTGGGAAAACATGATTCTCAGGCTTGAAGTGAGTTCAACCATACTCTACTTTCCAAAGAAACCACACATGGGCAGAGAAGGACTTTTCTCTAATGCAAACCTTTGGGGCTGGGCTCCAGAAGGCTGTTAAAAATTGTGAAGGAGGAGCTGGGAAGGTGGCTCAGTGGTAGAGCACTTGCCTTGTATGCATGAGGCCCTGGATTCAATTCCTCAGCACCACATACGCAGAAAAAGCCAGAAGTGGGACTGAGGCTCAAGTGGTAGAGCGCTAGCCTTGAGCTGAAGAGTGGAGGGACAGCGCCCAGGCCCAGAGTTCAGGCCCCATGACTGACCAAAAAAATGTGAAGATACAAACCTTTGAGAGACAGAAGCATGCTCCCTAACCCCAGACAGACAGAAGGTGCTCCCAACCCCAGACAGACAGAAGGTGCTCTCTAACCCCAAACGGACAGAAGGTCCTCCCTAACCCCAAACGGACAGAAGGTCCTCCCTAACCCCAGACAGACAGAAGGTGCTCTCTAACCCCAGATAGACAGAAGATGCTCCCTAACCAGGTGCAGGGCTGGTGGGCCTGGCTGGGCTGTCTCAGGGCAGGTGGGTCACCCGGTACTGGTAACTGAGGAGCAGGCGGCACTGAGGCTCTAGCCATTCTGTCAGTACATAGCCAAGCTCTTAACACACTCACTGACATACACATGCATATATACACCTGTGCACACCTGTACTCCTAGCCTGCACACACGTGGGGCAGGCTGGTGGTGGGGACAGGCCTGCCTCCTCCGCCACGTTCTGATGCCCTCCCAACTGCCCGGAGGCAGACCCTTCCTTTTCTAAACACAAGACCTGGAAAAACCCAGGTGGCCCAATGTTTAACTGTCCTCTGTCACCAAGTGGCTCGCTAGGAGGACAAAGGCCTCTACGAGTTTCAGCCCAGGTAGGAAACAGGACAAGGGGCCAGGAACCCTGACCAGGGATATCCTCCCTCCAGCCCACCCCACGAGCCCCAGGAAGGGGCCAGAGGACCAGCACAGACTTGAGAGTGAGTGGAAGCTTGGGGTCAGGATGAGGTGTGCAGGGCTGATTGGGCTGGGAGATGGAAGGGAGACTGGGGTGGAAACCGTGGATTCTGGATACAGGTCTCCAGTAGGGGCTTGGGGGGGGGGGGGGTTGGCGGGGGACTGCTTCAGCTATAGACTTAAGGTCAGGTGTGGGCCTAGAGTGAGGACTGGGAGGGGGGCAGGGCTGAGGTGGGAACTCGGGACAGGGGCCTGGGACTTGGGGCGGTGGGATGTGGGTCCGGACGGAGTTCGGGCTTGGGGTGCCGGTCTGGGTGCAGACTTCGGGCGGCCGGGGGGGGGGGGGTCCGGGTGCTAGGCAGCGCGCCCGCCCCTCCCCGCTCCCCACCGCACCGCAGGCGCGGGGCACTGACGCACCTTGTGGCAGGCCGGGCAGGTGGGCGCGCTCTTGCCCCCGGGCCCCCCGGGCCCCCCTCCGCCGCCGCCGCCTCCGCCGCCGCCGCCGCCTCCGCCGCCGCCGCCGCCGCCGCTCAGGCTGCTCTGGATCTGCGTGAGCTCCTGGCGCAGCACCTGCTTCTGGTGGAAGCTAAAGGCCGGGTGGTTGGAGGCCATGGTGAAGAGCAGCAGGAACTCATCGCCCGTGCGGCCCTCGTTGAGCTGCAGCCCGTAGTTGTGGATGATGGAGTCGATGTGCGTGAGCGTGCGGTAGAGCACGCCCGCCGCCTCGCGCTGCTCCGAGCCCAGCAGCGCCAGCGACACCAGCAGCTTGCTGCGCACCACCTCGTCCGTGAGGTTGGTGAGGCTGCCCAGGTCGGCCGGGTTGTTGGCCTTGATCTCCGAGTCGCGCAGCGAGTGGTAGTCCTTGCGCGCCAGGTCCTCCAGGCAGGAGCCGAGGAAGCGCAGCTCCAGCGGGATGCACAGGTCCAGCAGGCCGCACAGGAACTCCACGCGCTGCGGCGACGGCAGCTCCGAGAACCAGCGGTACACGCCGTCCCTCTGCAGCGGGCCGCGCTTCTCCACCATGCTGCCGCCCGCGCCGCGCCCCGCCCCGGGCCCGGGGGCCGCGCGGGGGCGGCCGGGGGCCGCGCCGGGGGCGCGCGGGCCGGGGCGGGCGCCGGGCGAGGCCGGGCGCGGGCGCGGGCGCGGGCCGGGCGCGCGCGGGCCGGGCGAGCCCCCCGCGGGGGGCCGGCGGGCGGGCGCGCGCGGGCCGGGGGGCGCCGGGGCGGCCGGGCCCGGGGCGGCCGGGGGCGGCGAGCGGCCTCGGGCCCCCCGCTCACGGGGAGGCTCCCTGCCCGCGCCCGTCCCCGGCGGCGGCCGGTGCGCGGCGGCGGCGGCGGCGGCGGCTGCTCCTCGTCGTCGTCGTCGTCGCCCGGGAGGCGGCCGCCCCCATCTCCCCCCGCGCCGCAGGGTCTGTCACTGCGGGCCGCCCCCCGACGGAGCCGCCCCGGCCATGCCGCCGCCTGCGCCTGCGCCCAGGCCGGCCGTTACCGCGGGCCGCGCGGCGGCGGCGGCGGCGGCGCCTCGGAGCGCTGGGCCTCGCGGGCGCGGCGGAGGGATCCGCGGACCGGGCCGCCGCCGGAGCTGCCCGCGCGGGCGGGCGGGCGGGCGGGCGGACGGGCGGACGGGCGGGCCGGGCCGGGCCGGGCCGGGCCGAGAGCGGCCGCCGGAGAGCGGAGGGAAGGCGCCCGCGAGCACGGGCGGCCGCGGCCAGCACCAGTGGGCGGGGTAGCTGCCTCTCGCGACAGCCCGGGCCGGCCAGGCCCGCCCCCCCCGCGCTGATTGGCCCGGCCGCCCGTCTCCGGCCGGGGATTGGCCCGGCCCCGCCACGGGATTCGCTCGCGTCTCGGTCCCGCCTCCGCGGGGGGCTGTCGATCACGCTGGCACCACCCCCTCTCGTCCCCCTCGCCCTCCCCCGGAGGCCGGCGCGACCTGATTGGTCGGCGGGGCCCGGCGGGCCGGAAAACCCGGGGCGGATTTCTGGGCGCTTTTGTTCACGCAGGTTTGAGCCGAGCCCCGCTTTGGGAGCCCGGCCAGGCCGGCGGCGGCCTTCCGGCCGCGCTCCCGAGCGTCCTTTGGGGAGGTGACGGCGGCCTCGGGAAGCCGCTGGCCCGGGCTCGCTGGCCCGGGCGCTGGAGACACCCGGATGTGTCCCTGCCGAGCTGTGTGACCTTGGGCGAGTCCCTCGGCCTCTCGGAGCCGCGGACGCCGCCCTGGCAAGGCGGTCCCCGCCCCTGGGGTCCCGCGGGTTGACGGTGAGCTCACAGAGGGGCCGGCCCGCCTGGGGTCGGTCGGCGGGAGCACCCCGCCGCACCCCACCTCGGCCCGCGGCACCCCGCTCCCCGCCCGGGGAGCCAGAAAATGCCAGCACGTGGGCCAAGGGGCCGCGGGCCGAGCGGCCCGGCCTGGGGCGGGCGGGGGAGCCGGGACGGCCCGCCTCCGCCGGCCACCGCGCGGGAGCCCCCCCGCCCCGCCTCCCTCCGCGGACCTGGCCCCCCAGGCCTCAGCGGTGCGTAAACGCCCTCCCAGAGCGCCACGTGGGTGCACGGGGGGGGGGGGGCACTCGGGTGGAGCACGGGGGTGGAGCACTGGGGTGGAGCACTTGGAGGTGGAGCTGGGGGGGGGCACTTGGAGGTGGAGCTGGGGGGGGTGGAGCACTCGGGGGTAGAGCAGTCTCGGGGTGGAGCACACAGGGGTGAAGCGCACAGGGTGGCCTCTCTCCACCTGCGCCCCTTGGGGGCATTTCCCCCCTACACCCACCCCCCCCACCTCCCCCCCGCAGCTGCCTGGGAGGGGAGAGGCCCGGGAGGGGAGAGGCAGGAGTGTCCCCCTCACTCACCTGAGTCCCCACCAGCTGTCTCTGCCAGTAACCTCATGAATCCAGGAGGACTCCAGCCACCACCAGAGAGGTGGCCACCTGCAGAATCGAAGCTCTCCCAGCCAGATAGCACCTCTGCTTCCCGTGGCCCGAGGGGGCTCCTTAGAATCTCTGCATCCCCAGGTTCTGATCCCAGCTCTGGCCAGCCCTGGGACCTCTCTGATCCCGTTTCCTCATGGGCTAAGGAAGCCCACCAGCCTGCCAGCCAGCTAGCCCAGTGGTCTGGCAGCCCTTTCTAGCTGGGCATCAGAGGGCAACGTTGCACCAGCCACTGGACCAACATCCTGCAGCTCCTGGCCACCTCCGGTCCACCTGCTGCCCTGCACTTTGCTATTTAATGTCGGGCCAGATCGGATCGTGTCTGCTAAAAGTTCACATCCACCTAGAGCCTCCACGTGTGGCCTGATTTGGAAATACAGTGTTTGTAGGTATGATTGAGATAATGGAAATAAGATAGCAGTGTTTTAGGCTAGCCCCCTCTCATTCAACAAGGCTGCCCTAAAGAAGGAACCCACAGAAGCCAGGCTTGTTGGCCACACCTGTAATCCCTGCCACTGCTCCAGCTGGAGTTGTGGGAACTCAGGTGTCCCCAGGGACAGAGCCAAGAGGACCAAGGATTGGAAGGTGGCCTGGGCAAGGTCCCTGAGGTTCTGTCTCAAAAACAAAACTCACCGGTGTGATGGCTCACACCTGGGATTCTAGCTGCTTGGGAGATTGGGAAGATGGTTGCTGGAGGCCCACTGGGTCAAAAGTCCTCAAGGCCCCATCTCCACCAGTAGCCAGTCACCATGTGCCAGCTACATGGGGCCTGTAAGTCACATTGTAGTCCAAGCTGATGGGGGCATCAACGCAAGACTCTGTTTGAAAAACTAACTAAAGCACCGAGGATTGGGGGTGTGGCTCAAAATCCTTAGTTCAAACCCCAGGACTGTCAAAATCAAAAGGCAGCTTGGGTAGTAAAATGCATGTCCGTGCGGGTAAGGGCCTGGCTACAGCCCCCAGTACCACAAAGATGAAGAAGAGGATGAGGACGAGGGACAATGACAGGGAAGTAGAAGAGGAGGAAGGTGGGTGAGGAGGGAGCCACACAGACTTGGGGTGGGGGGAGCTCCTTAAACCCAGGCAGAGCCAAGCTGAGACACGTGCCAGCAGAGGCTGGAGGCGGGATCACGGGCCCCACACACTGGCCTTGAACTCTCAGCCTCCACAGAGGACAATCTGACCATTTGATGTCCCTTTCCCTTTGCGGTTGGCCCTTGGGTTAACCACAGGAAACCAACACAACATCATTGTCCCTCTGAACTTGAGTGTAGCTCACACTGGAGATTCAGTTCCTACCCTACAAGACCAGAACTCTTTCTTGGTTTGGGAGCTGAGTTGGATCCAGTCCCCCATCCCAGCCTTGAAGGACTGAGGCTGCCCAGCATCTCCTCAGCCCTGGAAAGGGGAAGCCTCTGCCTTCTGTCTGCCTCCAGCACCCGCCACGCTGGCCCTGAGGCTCTGAGCATGTCTTCCTGCTGCCCCTGGGCTCTGCCCTGATGCTGCGGGGCTCCAGGGCTTTGGTGGCTTGCACAGGCACCATGGCCCTCTGGCTGCACCTCAGGACCTCTGGACATCATGTGCCTGTCACACACGCACACACACACACACACACACACACACACACACACACACACAGGACGAGTCCAGGCGGTGATTGTGATCAGACGGGGCAGGCATCCCCGAGCCTGAATGGGTTGAGCCGGGCCATCCTGCGCCTGTGGGAGGCAGGGCTGGCTGGCTGGCAGCTGGGATCTAGCTAGGCTATGGCAGTATGTCTGTCTGCACATTTCTTTGTGCTACACTTGTGAGCATAGGACAGAATGAGCAGGCCAGGCTAGCCCTCCTGAAGGACTCCAAGGGAGCACCATTTCAGGGAACAAGTTCCCCGGACGACGGAGTCTACAGGAAAACACACGTAAGGTTGCCTGGGTTTGCTTCTTGTGTCTGAATTAATGAGGTCGCGACTCTCACGTGGCTGAAGGGGGTGACCAGGCAGGGGCCAGTGGACTGCCCTCCAGAAGCCCTCCTTCCACCACAGCAGCCTGCCCTGGGGGAATAACGGTGGTCCAGCCAGGGGCCGGTTGGAGGGCGGGTACGGCTGAGCTGGCTGATGACTCCTCCAGAGGTGTGGTCCGGCCCAGGCTCTGCAGAGAGCCCCCTCTTTCCCTTGGCCTGGACCCTGCTCTCTGGGGACCCAGCACCCCTCCCAGGGGCCACAGGTGGCTCCTCTCCCGGGAGGGAATCACAGACAGGACCTTACTTCCTTCACCATTTCTGCAAAGCAGAGCCTCGGGCGGTGTCTATCAGATGCCAACTTCCCCAGCCGTGGCTGCCGACCAAGGAGTCATACACGTGCCGGTGCCAGGCACACCCTCAGCCCTGGCTTCTGTGCATGGACCCGCCGGCCCGGGTGCCTGGTGCTGGGCTGGGTGCCCAGCTTCCCCGGGGGCAGGTCTGCTGCACAGGGGTCAGGTTCCACGTGGCCTGGCCCTGGGATCTGTGTGTTCACCAGCCACCTGGTCCCCAGCTCACGGCGCTTGGAAACCCTGCCTGAGGCGGGTGCCTGCCCAGGCAGGAGCCTTCTCCACACTCACAGCACCATGAAACCAACCAGTTTCCGGTAGGAACCATTCGGCAAGAACTCTCCCTGTGCTACAGATAGGGAAACTGAAAGGTGGTAGAATGAATCACAGACACGGTTCCAGGGTTTGTTTTTTTGTTGTTTTGTTTTGATGCCTGTCTTGATGCTTGAACTTAGGGTCTGGGCCGTGTCCCTGAAACAACTTCTTTTTTTTTTTTTTAACCATTGAACTGCTATTTTCATAAACATGAGGTATTTCAAAGTGCTGTAAGATGTAGTACTAAATATTTACATTTTTTAAAGAAATTAAAACACCGACCTTTCCATTTACCCAGTTTTTATGCACCAAACATGACAAATACATTAGAGGAAGAAAACAGGATGGGTAGAAAAAAGGCATATATATATATATATATATATCTATATATATATATATATATATATCTCACATATATACATATATGTGATATATATTACAAAAGTTTCTTTGAAACTTTTTTTCCCCTCAAAGCTAGCACTCTATGACG